TATATATTCTGGCGTATTAAATTTAACGGAGAAGGAATGACCCTCAAATATTTGAATTGGTACAAAATTATCCTCCATCATTTATTGGTCCTAAAATACTCTGACGTCCTCCTTGTTAAAGAATGACAAAAGTTTCACATCGGTGATTAATGAGATGGTGGACTCCTTATAAGGCTTGGACAATCCTCCTCCCTTTGAGCTAACTTTTGGGGTGTGAGTTAGATCTGATACCTAATTTCACATGGTATCATAGCAGGATCCATCTCACCTGATGTTGGGCCCTCCAAAATCAAAATTGCTCACGCACCATATGCGAAGCACTGAACTCTCTTTGAGGTAGCTTTTGGGGTGTGAGTTAGGCATGAAACCTAATTTCACACTCCTTTCGTCTCAAAAATACCCTTATGTCCAACATATCATAATCATCATGTGGAAGGAGTAATATTGTATCGAATCTCATAGTCTTTATGTCTAACGGATCATACTCCTTAGGTGGACGAGAATAGTATTGTATCGTATCTCATAGTTTAATAGCATTTTACATCATAAGAAAATTGTGAATTATATAGGGATTAGTATGAAAATTCGCGTGAAACTTATTGTCTTGCAAATTTTCATACTAATCCTCAAGGAAATACCCATGTAATTCACACTTTTCTGATAGTGTTAGATACTATTCCGTTAAAATAATTTTAAATTACTAAATATATAAGCTCACACGATTAACTTGATTTTGAATTTCATAGTACATTTAAAATTATAAAAATTTACTAATGACTATAGCAATCTGGTCCCAAAATATATATTTATACATAAACCATAAATGAAGGGAAAGGATACCTAAAAGATAAAAGGATAAAAGATGGGGAAAGGGAATAAATTCTTGAAATTTCCAAGGAAACTATAACAATCTTTTTACTCTCTTTTTACATCTATTTTTTGGTTGGAAAGATCCACTTTTAATGCCCTTTTGGTTGTTTTTCAAGAAGAAAAAAAGGTTACAACTTATACTTAATAATATTACACTACTTTTTTGGAGAAATTTTCTAGCTTTGTTGCATAAAGGCTAACACTTCCATTATTTTGAATGAGTTGTTGAATTAAATAGTACTTGTTTTCTCTACAACACACACAAAAATTAACCATTATGAAAAAAGTGTTGTTAACTTTGCAATGGTAATAGCTAGTATTTCCATGTTTCTATTTAATAGCCTTTTCTTTTTCGGATCGGAGGTGACATTTATTTTGTGGAACAATAAGGGTTAGAGGCAGAGCTATATATATTGGTATTTTTTCGTTGAAAATTACTATTGTAGTTTGAATAAAAAATGTGTATATAAAGTATATGACCTTAATTGATTTCTTTACAGGTTTAGTACTCTATTGAAGTCATTTAGTAAATATGATGGAATGAGTACATATATTTCATGAGTAAGAATATCTCATTAGATTCGTTTAAGAAGTATTGATAACCTTAAAACATTTTGTTACTTGATTAATTATATTTAGATACACCCTCGATTTTCCACATGAGATATCATGTGATTTCAATTAACTCTTATAAAAGCATGATGTTCTTAATAAAAAGTTAAAAAAAAGTACGTAAAGATTACCTCTAAACTTGACAAGAATTTAAAAAGTAAAATTGAATGCATTTAAATTTTATTAATTAAATAAAAAAATATCTTCTTTTAAATCATCAATAAATATAAATAAAAATATAAAACTAATAATTCACGTCCTAATTCTCTCGACTAACAACTCTTTTGATATCTATTTTATCAATTTGTAATAGGTTAATTGGATAAGGCAGATGAATCATCCTAGTGATTAGAGAATAATAAAAAAGATGAAAAGACAACTCATCAAACAATATTGAACTTGTAATAATATAGTAATAAACTAATAAATTAAACTTAAAAGTTTTTTGGACATATATATTTTGATTTTATATATTCCTTTGAACTTCAATGGTGTCTTCCTTTTTTTCCTTTTGGCCCACACATCTCCATCATTAGGGCATCTCTCATCTCTCACAATTTTCAATAAAATCAAATTATCATATATCAACCACTAGCACTAATCCCATTATAAAATGAGTGTGGCAGAATGTATAAAATTAAAAAAAAAAAACTAATCAAAAAAAGTTAATACGATATGTTTATGAGATTATTGAAAAATATTTTTTTGAAAAATGATGATTTTATTAAATTGTTCGACAGTTTAATAAGTGATAAAAAATATATATGAAAAAAATTGGAAACTTGAGATATCAAAAAATACATAAACTTTGAGTATTCAACTACTCTATATAAAAAGTCAACAAATGGATGCTTTAGGAACTAGCTATAAATTTTATTTTCTAATAACAATTATTACACTTGAATTGAAAATTTCCATGTACTATTTTCCTCATCCACCTTCGTATATTAGGTATGTTATATTATTTGTAATTGTCTTTTAAATGATTTGACGATTAAAATGAAAATTATTATCATACACTATTAATGTTTAAAGTTTAACTCCCATATATAAGGACATCAATTGAAAATGTTTTACACTAAAATAAAACTTTCGATATATATATTAATTAATCGAACTTCAAAATATATCGAACAAGTTGAGCGGAGATAAGGAAAATTGGGAAAGGGAGAAGACTTCTAGGGATTGATTTTGACAATTGTTTGGTGATATTGAAAGGCAAAAATCAAACAAGATCCAAGAAAATTATTTCAAATCTCGAGTAGTAACCTTGAATTCTCAATTGAATTATTATTATTATTATTATTATTATTATTATTATTATTATTATTATTATTTGTAATGTAAAGTAGAATATACTATGGTTGAAAAAGAATTCCCAATTTTGAGAAATTTCCAAGTTTTTAGTTGTGTCCCCTCCCTAATTTCCTAGCTTGTTGTTTTCTGATACTAATATAAAATGGGTTGGCAATTTTGCAATGGTTTATTTATGATAAAATGTGAGTCAAAAAGTAACATTAATTTGATATAATACTATAAAGGAGCAATAGCAATATAGGTAGATTGAACATAGTGTCATGTTTGGTAAAAAAAAATGTGAATAATTGAGTAGCATAGGGTAAAACTTGGTTATTTGGCAAAATTAGTGAACACTTTAACGAGATAAATAGAATAAAATTAAAATTAAAATTAAAAGTTTCATCTTGTCACTAAAAAATGTTATTTATTGAATAACATAGGAAGATTTTTTATCCAGTAACATTTATTATCAATTCAATAATATTAAATTTTAAGTGCTAGGTATAACTTTCTGAACAACTGAATAAACGTAATTTTTTAAATACGCGATAATCATGTTTCAGTCATATAATTGAAAAATTGCTATTATTATTATAAAACTTGAAATCTTCTTATAATATTTTTAAATTTTACTTATAAAATTTTTACCTTTACAACAATAGCTTATTTTAATTTTACAAATAGAAAAGAGACTTATTTATGAATTTTAATATGTTTGAGGGCTCTAGAGAGTAGTCATATTTTGACCACTACTAGGCTATGAAGTTTCCCTTAGACAGTGGTGAAAACATTCCTATACCTGCTCTTATCATCAATTTATTTTTTTTTATCTTATTATAACCTATATATTCACCAAAAAAGATACTATCTTAACAAATTCTTATTTTAAAATTACTTGAGCCACCTAATATTACATAAATAACACAAAAAAATAAAAAATATTCTTGATTCTCCCACCTAATTTATCAAAAGATATACTATACAAAGTGGCCTAAAAACTCTTGCTTTTGTTCCATACTTTTGCATCTTTTTTTGCCTTTTTCTTTCATCTTAAGCAAACCCCTCAAAATTCCATTAACTCAAACCTCTACTTCATATCCTTAGACCATTATACCCTTCTCTCCACACCCTCCCCCTTCCTTTTTCTTTTCATTTTTGTCCTTAATCTTGACCCCTCCCCCCCCCCCAACTTAACTCAAACCTCTACTTCATTATCTTAATACCTTTTTCTTCATTTGCCCTTCCATTTCTTTCTACAAAAAAAAAAAAAACACAAAACATGGCTTCTAAATTCACACTAATATATCTTCTTCCACTACTAACACTCCTCCTCAACTTTCCAGCAAGAATCACACCCCAAGAATGTGCTTATCCTTGCTATCCTCCTCCCACCGGAAACAACCCTCCTCCGGCCACCACAACCCCACCAGGTGGCTATGTCCCAAATCCACCATCAACCACCTATCAACCACCACCACCTGGTTACAACAACATCCCTTATCTGAATTCTCCACCTGATGATTACGCTAACGGTGAAGCACCACCACCACCAGAACCAATTGTCCCTTGGTTCCCATTTTATTATAGAAAACCTCCTCATTCCGATCAATCTTCATCATCAAGAATCACATCCAAAAAGATGATTAGTTTATTAGTAATAGGAATATTTTTTGTCTAATTTTGGCTGCTTTTTATTTTTATTTTTCATTAAATCTATGTGCAAGTGAATTTTGATGTAATTAGTAGTGGAAAACATGTTGATTTTAATGTCTAATTAATGATCCTCATCAATTTCAATCTTTATGAGTTTTATGTAAAACAGAGAAGTTCCTCCTCTGTTTCTTGATTTTTGTATTGCACAAAAGGGAGACTTCTCTTTTTTCTTCTTTAATAACGAAGCTTAAATTTGATCTCAGCTGATAATTGATTACCGTTTAAGTTAAAACATTCAAACTTAAAAAGCAATTACGAAAGACAACTTCAAAAATTACGCGTTGTGTTAGAGTGAGGTGTTTACGAGATACACTAGAAACGAGTTGGAGTTTTTGGTTATTTGTTGAGTTGATGTGTTTAGACGTACATATCAACTAAAATTAAATTTAAATGTATATTTATGTATTAATTTTTTTTAAAAAGAATCAAGTAAGATTTATGTGTTAATAAATAACTTTTTTCATCTTTCATTTAAGGTTTTTGAGTTAGAAATTATAATTACTTTTAGCAAGAAGTGTTTTATTTTCGTGTAAATTCGAAATAATTAAACCTTAAAATAAGTAATAGGAAGGCAAAAATTTAAGTTTTCAAGAGTCTTGGCTTTTTACTTTTGGTAATTAGATTCTTCTATATCGTTCTTCATTTGTTGTATTTTTCGTAATAAATTGTTGATTTTGTATTATAAAAAGGCATATTACGGATATTTGCATAAACATTAAAAAAAAATGTATTTGGACCTTTCTAGTAATGAGGTCAATATTAAGCTTCTTATCTCTCTTGGTTATATTTAGCTAGTATTATCTAAAATTTATAAATTACTAATTCGATTAATTTTAAATAATTTTTTTATTTGAAAAAAAATTCATTTTATATTAAAATTTGAATTTTTGAGTTAATTATGAAGGAATTTCATCTATTCTATCACACATAACCCCCACCTAATTTTGATCTCTCTTTTGAACAAGTGCCTTCTCCTTCACTATCATGACAACTAACTTAGCCCAAAAATTCATGCTACTTGCATCACTTCCTTTTGCCTTTTAATTTCTTCAATCACACCACCTTTTTTGTTGTTTTCTTTGGTTTATTTTGTGTTTTGTTTAGTTAATAAAAAAAATAAAACAAGTAACCTTTTATGACATAAAAGACAGTCTGGTGTATTAAAGTTTTCGTTATACGTAAGATTCAGAGAAAAAATCTACTGTATACACTCTTATCTTATATTTCTGTCAGAGGCTGTTTTCAAGGCTTGAATTTGTGACCTCATGATCACATGGCAGTAACTTCTTTAACGTTATATACCAATGATCGAGCATATATAGTGTAATTTAATAAGTAAGATATAAAGAAAATGGTATGTATGCAAATATTAACCTTATTTTGACAAAGACAAAAAACTCATTACATTTTAAGGCATATATACTTTATATATATATATATATATATATATATATATATATATATATAGTA